TATTTTATCAAACACAATCCATTAATTAAAAAAAGTTCAGGGTTGGCAGCTTGTGGAAATGTTTCATAGATGTTGTTTGTGAAATAGATTAGAAATAGTATATTCTCTGCATTTTCTTTCCAGACGTATTGCTTGTGGAGCCCAAAAATGCTGAATACTAAAATGTAAAAATATATCGAGTAATTATATACATGAAATATACAGATGAACCAACAATTTTTGAAAATGAAATCACATTAAATTAAAAAATATACCTCAATCATATTAAAAATGTCTGAACCTCTTTGTGTTGACTATTACGTCTTGTATTTATAGCCTAACAACAAGTCAACACACATTTACATCCCACGTCTCCGCAAAACCCCGTTTAAAAACACACGAAAAGCTGAAAGATGTGTTTTGTTGTGTTTACTGAATATTATGGAAAGTAAAAGTCACCGTGATTTATTGTCTTTAAAATGCGCTCAGAATTTTCACACCCACCATGTTTCATATGTAAAACACGACACGATGCTATGTGCAAGTCAGTAATGAGTGTTTTCTATTTATATTATTACCAAGCCAGAGACGCAGACCTAATTTACATTTTTGGGGAATGATGCTGTACATCCGGAGAAACTCTGGCTGTTATCATACCGACATGAGCATAATTGAAAACATTTGACCGAGCGCCACCACCCTCCGACGCCAGCAGTTTCACTGGGGACAGCCGAACATTACCGGGAACTACCGAAATGGGAACCGAAAGTCCCGTTTATTGTGTGTACTTCCTGGTCCAATTATAATACTCCCTATATGCCTCCGTGAAACGCAGCGCTTTGCGTCCGAACGACGGATGGGAGCGCAGAAACAACGGATGTGGCCTCAGTGTTATTATTGATGTGTCCAGACATCCGCAGCAGACTGTGCAGCCTGATCGTGGCCGATTTTGGACGTGCGAGCGACGCAACTCCTGCTCGAAATACAATTTTTCTTTTGTCTGCGCAACTGGGAGCAACATTTGTGATGTGTGATAAGGGACTGAGAAGTAAACACTCAGGCCTGCGCTCATGATCAGAGGCGAGGTGAGATTGATACCTCGGACTCAGATTGCCCTTGATTGCAAGTTGATTTCACTCCGGAGCGGAGGAACTGTCTGCTCCAATGGCGTCAGTTTCCAAGGTCTCTATTCTGGATTACTTTAACATTGTGTTCGAAGGGGAAAATGGGAAAATCGAGTCCAACTGTAAGGCTTGTGGCACCAGGATCCAGGCGAAACGGAGCGTCACGTCCAACTTCGTAACGCACCTTAAGGTAACCGAATAAAATTGTACATGTGGCTGTTAACATCTGGCTCATCTTGTTCTTGTCAGGATCAGCAGAAGCAGCTGGCTCTACGACAGCTCTGGAGGATTAGCTGTAAAAACCTGACTGTACAGGCAGTCTGTTGCTTCTCTGCAAGGGGAAACAGAGTGGAGGGGAGGGATGGGGGTTACCTATACCTTATCATCTCCTGCAGAAATGTACTCAGCATGCTGTGTAGAGGTATAGAAATGAACTATAACAACCTCATGCTCCTCTGTCTCTCTCCATTCAGCGTAAGCACCAGGCTATGTATGATGACTTTGTCAAAAGGAAGGATATGAAGAGAGAGGGCTACTCCTCTGCTTCCCTGCACAGTTTCAACGCCAATGGAGGGAATACCCGCTACACACTCCCTATTAGTGCTGGAGTGGGAGGAGGAGGTGGAGGAGTAGCAAGTGGAGTTGTTGGAGGAATGGGAACTCTTGAGGGAGGAGTAGGAGGAGGCTCTGGAGGAGGGGTGACCAAATTTGACAGACATGATCCACGTCAGGTGTGTTGTAGCCCGTTAGCGCTGGAGCTTGCAATGTTGCAAATGTAACAGATGATTTATTGAGACATTGCAGTAGAATCATTAGCTATTTTTAAAAAGTGCAATTTGTGGTGTTTCTTTTTAAACTACAGGTTCTGATTTCTGAGGCTATAGCTAAGATGATCGTGCGTGATCTCCAGCCAGTGTCCATAGTGGAAAATCAAGGCTTCAGAGAGTTGCTTCAGCTCCTGGAGCCACGTTACACCCCTGAGCCCCAGCATTACATCCAAAGCCAACTTCTTCCAGCCTACGCCTACCAGGCCCAGCTGGCCACCCGTCAGGCCTTGGCCTCAGCACACGCCCTTAGCCTCAGCCTGGATCTCTGGGGAGGATTATCTGGAGTCACTTCAGGGTAAGGAGGTAAAACAAGCCAGAAACTACAAAATGGAAACTTGGTTTGAATCCCTTTACTGAAGACTCCACTTCTCTCTCTCTATAGGTACCTTGGTGTCACCTGCCATTTTCTTACATCTGAGTGGCAAATGCGCTCAGCTCTCCTGGCGTGCCTTCCACTGACTGGTGGCAGCTCTGGGAATCGCATACTTTCCGAATTTGATGAAGTATGTCACTCTCATGGCGTGTCAGGCAGAGCATTTCGTGTTGTGGCAGACCCTCTCCTGCCGACGAGAACAAGCGGAAAGCCATGCTGCCTTCCCGGTTTTCTGCTTTCACCTCCTCTCGGTAACGGCCAAGATGGAAATGATGAAGAAGAGGTGGACGGTAGTAACAATGTGGAGCGAGAAGAGATCAGGAATGGCCACGGCGACGCTGGAGAAGAAGGAGAATGGGAATACACATGGGAGCAGGGTTTGGGCGTTTCTCGGGTGGACTGTTTCTCTCGCTCTCTTGAACAGTGTGTCAGGGAAGGGCTGCGCTCTTGTCCACAGCTCTCGTCCACACTGGCAAAGGCAGCCTGTTTCTACAACTACATTACCTCTGCCGTCCCACCTGAGAAGCTCAGCCAAGTGTTCGATGGTCCAGGGTTGATGATGGGGGGACAAGGAAATTTCCCAGAGGCAGCACAAGACTGGGCTGCTCAGCTTAAGGCAAGTTAATGTTAGGGTTGCATATTAGTAATGTCACCAAATAAACAGATTGCATCAGCTTCAAACATTTAACATGAGCAGTATGTTAAGCAGAAGGTGCACAAAGAAAGTGTGGCTAGCAAAATAAATGCATAATACCATTAATTCAAGGTTTACATTATGACACTGAGATATGACCACAGTCTTGGTTGGCATCGTTAATAATCTTTATGTATTTGTCTGCTTTGATAAAGGTCCTTCGGCGGCTGCTGGACTCTGTGGATTTCCTGGAGGAGATGAGCGGTCCAGGGGAACTGGGGCTGGGTGGTACAGAGAGAGCCCTGCTGAGGGAGTTCACGGACACTCTGGAGCCCTTCACTGAGGCCTGGGATATGGTGCACGGAGACAGACAAGCAGACGCACAGACGGACAGACATGTGTCTATCAGTCTCGCTCTGCCTTGTGTTCTCGGCCTCCGCAAGCATCTGTCCGAGACGTCCACCCCCCACTGCCCCTCCCTGGTTGTGGGCCTCAGCCAGGCTGTAGAGCGTCTCCTTGCGCCTATCCTGGAGAACCCCCTCTACATCACTGCCACCACCCTGGACCCCCAGTTCAAACTTACTTGGAGCAGTAACCCTGACTGGCACAGACAAGTTATCATAGAGGAGGTATCCAAACACTCCACAGCCTCCAGCCCCGTAAATCTCAACACAGACCTTCATCCACAGTCCCACACTCCTCCTGCTCCAGCTCCATCACCGATCTCCTCACTTTCTCGGCCCTGCAAGTTGTTCTCTTTCATCAAGCAGAGACCCACAACACAGGCCAAGAGCCTAGAACAGGAATTGGCTATCTACCTACGTGAGGAACCCACAGACGAGGAGGCTTTGCATTACTGGCGACGTAAAGCTATTGACTTCCCTCTGCTTGCCCAGGTGGCCAAGAGAGCTTTTACCATACCTGTTTGTGGTACTGTGGTGGAGAGCATTTTCACTACAGCTGGACGCTTCCTGCTGCCAGAGAGAGGCTGTGTCTTACCAAAGAACCTGGAGACGCTCATCTACCTCAAAGCCAACTACAGATTATTATGGACTTAGAGCTCTTTACACTTGCAGTTAAGTAACTTCTTGGATTCTAACCTCCATACCATTCTAAGGGAACCTGAGCTAGCACCATAACATAATCCTCATACTGCACATGATTTCATATCAGATAGAACGAATCACCAAGAAGAATTTCAGAGCTGCAACTCATTTTAATCCTCAAGATCGGTTTTCCCGGCTACAGCGGGCGTGGATGGCTGTCTGCTTCCCCTCGTAGCCTACAGACTATCGCACCACATGCTGTGGACTGAGTTTGCTGGAAGCAGATCCATACTAAAGCATTTACTTTGACATTATTTTGCCTGATCAGGGTCTCCAGACAACCACAGATCTCCCTCTTTCTCATGTATCCATCAGTCAACACTGACAAACCAACAATAACCAGCTAGTCAAGTTTTGCACACTGTAGCAACTCGTGTTTTTTTTAGCTTTAGGTTGTGATTCATTATTTCGATGCTATTTTTAAAGGAAGTCATCAACTGCTCAACAGTATGTTAATGCGCTGTTCAATCTTTGTTTTAACTATGTGTGTGTGTGTGCCTCATCACTGGGAGATGGTAATAAATTAGTTTCACTTACTTTAACGCTGCGGGTGTGTGCAGTTTGCAGATGTCAGTGAATGCACATGTCCTCATGTGACACGCTGTTTGTTATATACGGTGGACCCCCGACTTACGAAATGAATTTGTTCCAGAGGGTCTTTCGTAAGCCAAAATTCTTCGTATTTATTTTGAAGAAGACATGGATTGTGCTTCATGTAAATCATTTTGACCCTTATTTATATCGTCCTCTGTCAATCCTTCAGAGAAGAGGTGAATTTCATTTCATTTTTATTATCAGCACCCCCCCCTCCTTTTTTCAATTTCATGTGAACTTTGAGGAAGTGAAATGGGTTTGACCCTGTCTGTCACAGAAGACTAGCAAGGAATGACTGTTGGTGCCACGACAAAGATTTTTCTTTGTTGAACTTCACATAGATATTTTGAAATAATTTTGCAGAGCATCCCTATGAAGGAAAACAGGGAATAAAGTAGTGTGTGTTAGCCTTTTTTTGCTTTCTTACTCTGGGCTGGGCCTGCAGGGAGGCTGGGTAATTGCAATAATTCCATTACAGTTAAATTTGAGTCAGCAGGCAGGCAGCAGTCACATCCTGCACCCCCTCCCTCTTCCCTTATCACAGGCAACAAGCCTCACAAAATCTTATTTCTAAAGAACTGAGAAATAAATGTCAGGACTGCATGCAGCTACTGTACATTTGTTCTATAATACCACATTAAAGGGATGAAGCGCTTCAGTGCCTCAATTAAGGAGCTATGATCAATAAAGTGACCATAAACAACAGCATCAGTCAGTCTGAAGATGAACCCCTGATAGTGCTCTCACAAGGCTTACATCTATTTATTATAATTACCTGCAAAAAAAAGAGAAAACCCAGTGTAACAGTTTTTGTTTTTGAAAATCAATGTGCTAATCTGTGGGCGATACAAAGAGATCCCCTCATAGATCATAATTTGCTGTGATCTTAATGGTTATCACCCCGGGACGTCTCTGGATTTAGATATGGAACTAGATATCCGTGTGGACGTGCCACTGTGTTCATCTTTGAAGCGCGTGTTTTCCCAGCTTTCCATGGGTGTGTTGTTGTTGTTCTTTGTTAGTATATGTGGAGCAGCTTGAGGCACCCACCTGCCCCTCCCCAGCTGTGACAGCTCATCCATTTGAGTTAGACGACTGGGCTGGGATGCAGCCCTGTTGGTAATTGCCTCTGAAATGAATTACTTGGCAGACAGTGAGACCGGGGGAGGGGGAGGAAATTGTAATTGAACTGCCCCCTCACTCCCTCCCTGGTCCTTATACCTCAAGTTATTACATCTGCAGTGCAGAAGGACATTTTCCATCCGCACACAGACACACAAAATGCTCACACCCTTACAAAACCAATTCTTCCCTCTCCCCTGCACGATGGCCTCAGCAAAGCACCATATTGATGCAGGGTGATTTCATAGATTGATTGTTCACGGGCACATGCACACTAGGCCACTGCACACTCTTGCACTCTTATTCACAGCACAGAGACAAACCCTCTTTTACACACTGAGTTTGCATTTGCTTGTGCTGCTCTGCTCCAAATACTCTCCTATTTGAGGTGCCCTTTAGCTGGCCTTCCTAATGCCTAATGGGCTGCAGGACATCGGAGTTGGCACAAACAGAAGCGGTGTTTAGTATCTTGAAAGCCCTGGTTACCCCGTACACACAGACACGCACACTCAGCCAAGCAGTGTTATTAATAACCTGCCTGTTGCTGGCCTGCTGACAGTTAGAAAGCCTGATGGATTGAAAAGCACTCGTGCTTGAGGCGGCACATTTGTGCACGCTGTTTGGTTTGTCTTTCATTTGTTGGACATTGCCTAAATTATGGAAGAAATTTAAGGCTCGTCTTGTCCCTTTCACCACACGCACACACTGGCAGTCAGTCATGTTTGGTCATTTGGCCTTTTAATAGCCAGGCCACTGTAGGCAGGGGACTTAGTTAACTGAGCCACCTACCCCCTACCCTGGTCAGATATGCACATGTTTTGACTCCAACCTTAGCACACAATAGGTGCTATTTCTGTAATGCACTAGGGTCATGACTCCACTTATACCCTCCACCCCTCCCCATCTGTCTCTCTCTCTCCTTTTCACCCCTGCTCTTCATCCGACACCGTCACCTACTTGCACAGAATCATGGCGGACAGAAACAGCCGGTTCAGCGTCAAGAGGAAAGAAAAGAAGGCGGAAAGCAAAACGAATAGTGAGAAGGACAAAGAAAAGGAAAAGGTGAACGAGAATACGGCAAAAAAGCCAGAAAAACCCCAGAAGAAACCAGAGAAGGTCCCTGAGCAGCCAAAGAAAGATGAAGAGAAGAGGAATGGGGAAAGTGAGGGGGCAGCAGGCGCAGACGCAAAAAGCAGTGATGAAAATGGGGAGTTTCAGCCTATAGAACTGCCTCCGTTTGAGATCGTCACAGGGTGGGTAAAATTTACTGCGTATGCCATAAAGGAGTTCAAAACAGGGTGTCCCACTAACCTGTTTTAGTCTTTAACACAAGCATGTTTTATCTTATAGATGAAGTCCTTTCTATGTATAAGTCATATTGTTCTAAAGTGCATGTTCTTTACTTGATTTCAATGAGACAGGAAACTGGTGACTTGCACATGCTGTTATTAGCGTAGTGGTAAGAATAGGGATGAGTCACGAAGTGAACACTGAAGCCGGCCCCAGATATATCCCCCTGCCTAGCATCTGTTTCCCGTATCTGTCCTATGACTATGTGCTGTCAAAGCAAAGCGCCATCAACATTATATGAGATCTATTTTGTGTGATCCATCTGGCTCTCCTTGTGCAGTAGAACAGTAGATTATTAAGTGACAGGTGGAGTTGGCTGGTATAGGTTCTTTAGGCCATAACGTTCAGTCGTTGGCTCTTTATTTTTCATTTTATTTATTACTTTAGTTTGGATCATCACAAAATGAGCAACCCATGCTTAGGCAAGCAAGTGCACGTCTGCCCACCTGGAAAGTCATTTGTGACTTTTTCTCACATTGCACTGTCATGAACCACAATGAGAGGTGACAGAGGACAAACCTTTTGACCCTGATAATGAGAGCAGTTTCTGCCAGTAAACCACTTCCTTTTCGATTCACTCACAAGGCAAAAGGGCGTCTTTGTTAAAACTCACACTTTTACTCTACCAGGGAACAGATGAGCCCATTCTACTTCAAGTTTCAGTTCAGGAATGTGGAGTACTCATCAGGGAGGAACAAAACCCTCCTGTGTTTCAGAGTGGATGCAGCAGGAGGCAGCGCAGAGCCTCTGAAAGGTTACATGGAGGACGAACATGCCACCGCTCACGCTGAGGTGGCCTTCTTTGAACAGGTAATGCCATTGTGCCCAAATGTGAACTCTAGTTTTCTCGTTTCTAACTTCATAATACAAACTAGACTCAAACCTCGACTCCCACATCTGTAGGTGCTCCCTAATGCCTCTCTAGAGTGTGATGTCATATGGTATGTATCATCTAGTCCCTGTGTGGCCTGTGCAGCCAAGTTGGCCAGCGTCCTCCAGCAGCGCAAAAAGATGCGTCTTTGTATATTCTGTTCCCGTCTCTTCGAGTGGGAGGAGCCAGAGATAGTTGAAGGGCTTAAGGGTCTGGTGAGAGCCGGCTGCAAACTGCGAATGATGAAGCCGTCTGACTTCCTGTATGTGTGGGAAACGTACGTGGAGAAGGAGGATCAGAGCTTTACACCCTGGGAGGATTGTCAGGAGAACTACAACTACTATATGGAAAAACTGGCAGATATCCTCAAGTAGATGTGAGTCAGTGTGTGTGTTGTGCATGCAGTGAGCCACCATGCTGTTTTTGGTTCATCACAGGTTTATTTATAGATGGTAACTTGGTTTTCCATGTGGATTCTGTCCTCTTTCTTGTCACTGCTACAGATGCACGGACCTCCCCACCGACTGATCCACAAATCGCACTACTTGTGAAATTCCCACTGGCTGAATGCGTGTTTCTTGCAGTCACACGGTGCAGAATGTTGTTAGTTTATGCACTCTTGGCAACATTTTATACTTTTTATTAACACAATTCATGTGGAAACTTAAAATGCTTGAATTTTTACATAAATACATCAACTAATCAACATCCAAGTGGTTAGAAAACGAAGCAAGAAGCAAAGAACAAAAGTGACATTCATCGTTACGGTAAAAATAAAAAAAAAAAAAAAAAGCCTGTGTTACATCTGCTGACATCTGCTGCTTGCTCAGAGAACTGAAGATCTAACTGAAGAACAACGAATAAATTCTCCTCCACGTCATCGTACATGTAAAATATATACAGCAACTCAAAATGAACAGTGGTTATAAATGATGTTCAGCTCATAAATAATCTTTTTTCTATTTAACAGTGCCTTAAAATCCAAATTCATTCAAACAATGTGAATTAAACGATGCATAAATCCTCAACAGTTTTGTGCTTTTTGGAAATGTGTGTATAAAATATCTGTTCATGCATATTTTATGATATGTTTATTTTTTTCAGTAGCTGGTTTTTTTAAAGCTCTATCTCGCCCTGAAGACAGAGTACGTCTAAAACGAAAACCTTTCACATCAATCGTAATGATCTTCAGCTGAGTTTCAGATGTCCTGTGACTGCCACATCACTAGATCGCACAAAGATGTTGTTTTCTGGTGTGCACTGACCATTATAGCCTCACAGAGCTGAAGTACGTCTGCTGACTCATTGATAGGCCTGTTGTTGCTGCAAAGACTTCGTCATTCATTTTAGAAAAGAACTCAGCCCACCATTGGTTTCTGTTGTTTCCTGGTTGTCAGTCGTTGCAGCTAAAGACCAGGTTTGTGGAAAAACAGAGAAATTGTGTTTTATGTTTTAGAAACGCTGACACAGGATCATCATCACCACAGATTAAAAAAATAAGTGCATTAGCAAAGTGCATTTGTGATTTAAACTTTATTACCTTGGTCCTCCTGCTTGGTTATTGGTAAGGGTGTTGTTTCACTGCAGACTGTGCCATTCTCCTCCTCTTCTTCTGTTCAGACGGATTAAGAAAGAAAAGAATCAGCATCTTTTACGACAGCTGAGCGCTTATTTAAGTATGTCAATCAAATCTTCTCTGCTTACAGCGATTTTCTTACTTTTCAGTTTCAGACTTACTGCAAAATATGACATTTAAAGGAAGTATTTTGTTTCTCCCAAGGAAGTGATGTATTCTCAGTTTCCTCATATTACATAGTTACAAAAGCAGCAGATGAATCAACCATGATAACGACTTCTTCGAAAAAGGACTTATGTGCTCACTCATTACGAGATTTATTTATTTTTACCTTTAGCTGGTGCATTCAGAGAGGCATCAGTGATGTACTCAACCAGTGGACACGGCACATCTGCAGTAAGAGGAATAAAGAAGTTAAATACAGGAAGTCACACCTAAACTTTTATGTGCAAGTCGGTAGTTTCCCAGCCTTTCTTTTTTTTTTGTTTTTTGTGGCGGCCTCTATCTACAGCATACTTGGAAAGGGCGACCAAAACCACGTCACTGACATGGTGCTAACTTACCAGTTATCTTTAGCTCGGCCATTGTCGGAAACAGGTTGACCTCTTCCATTTTGTCATCACGACCATCTGTGTGAAAATTAACAGCTCAAGTTTTTGTGATACTTGTATTGATTTGGACATTTATATAAGTTGGGTGTCACCTTAGTACTGTGCTGATTTTGGATTCCATTAACCCTTTAAGATAATAGTTTATCTTTATGATTCACTAACTTACTGGTACGTAGTCTGTTTAATAATGTCGAGTGGGAGAGATGCCCAAGAAAGACACTTTGAGAGCAGTGCGAGGGTAAAAGTGCAGGCTGAATAGATAACATTTCTGCACCTGTCCAACCAAATGCAGCTGCAGATTTAGGTGCAAATCGTTTTTCTAAAGGTTTTTTATTTCACTCTTCAGTTTGCCCACTTTCTTTCATTCTAAAAGTTATGATGTTGGTTCTTACAGAGTTTTAGAATTTGCACAGTCAAAAAGATAAGAAAGCATACTTGGTTTGCGGAAGACTCTCAGGGCCACGCATCCTATCAAGACCGCAGCGATACCAAAGACGATGCAGCCAGAGATGGAAAGAAGCACCCGCCTCTTTAACACTAAACATTAAAACAAAACAAAGCACAAGATTAATGACAGAATATTATTTTGAGAGAAGATTCATAACTAGCAGAGCTCAGTTGTACTTACGAAGGTTCTTGGTCTTGAAGGAGTCACTGGATTTTGAGTATAAGGGTCTCTCATCAGCATGTGCACAGCAGGTGTAAGTACTCTGGTCGGGGTCATTGCTGGGAGTTACTGTATGTGTCACATTGAATGAATCGATTCGTTCTCCCTCTTTGAACCTATTAAAATTCAGTTTATTGAACATCTGCATTACTGCTGAATTTTCCTATAGGGCAGAATCTACACAGGGCACTAATAATTATGAACATTGTTATATTACCATGTGTAATGCATCCAGTTGTGCGTGCTCTCCTTTACTTCACATTTTAGACTCAAGCTATCAGTGGAGAAGACGTCTGACCAGCCAGTTAGCAGGACTATAGAAGCCTTTGGGCGCTCTGTAATAAACGCAACCAAGAAGTGAATAACGAACATTCAAAACCAGAAGAATGAAAGGAGGAAATCAAAAAACGTACCTTCAACGTCGAGCTTTATTTTGTTGTCTGAATCGAAGACCTTTCCTCTTTTAACTTTGCACTTATATAAACCAGAGTCTTTTGTTGTCACAGAAGTGATGTTGTAATTGTTTCCAGAAACTTTACCTAACTCTTTTCCATCTTTGTACCACAGATTCGTCCATCCAGAGGAAACATTAACGTGACAGTTAAAGGACACCGAGTCCTCAGAGTGCATCAAATTATGTGCCGGATTCTGCTCCAGTGTGACTGTCGGTGCATCTGAGGGTTGATAAGAATCAACAATGAGAGTTGTACAAGAGCACTGAAATACAAGTCAGACGGCGTACCTGATCTAAAGGTAAGACGACCATTAACTAGTCTGCACTGCTTTAAATATCCATTTTCATAACGAGAACACTTCTCTGCCAGGATGAAAAAACTTTTTTATTTGAGGTAGTTACAGAGTTACACAATGATGCTGCTCCATCCCTATGATGCTACAGTAAACACAACAACATTTTTAATGTATTTTTTAGTGTGTAAATATAATAATAACTTTATAGGACTTCATGTGAATTAACCGCTGACTTCCTGAAGACTTTATCACCTTTGCATTGAATGAGGTTAACATGGGTGTTTATGTTTTTATGGCTTCTCTAATTTTCAAGCCAACCTTCCCCCTCTGGTGTGAACATTGCACATGTAAACGGGTCAACACTCTCATAGTCTAACTGTTAGCAAGAGAGTCAACAGCCTTACATTTGCAGCCTTTTAAACATTTTTAATATTTTAAAACAGCAAAACACAGAAGTAGTGTCTGAGTGTTTATCTTTAGACAGAAGCAACTGAA